AAAGATTTGCTCTCAGCAGTAGGCAAAATCTTAAACGAAAGGATGGAAAGCATCTAACTAAATGCAAAAGATAAAAATGAAATTGGGTGGGACGAAGAGAAGTGTAACTTTCTAGTGATAAAAACATCGTCATATGATAACAAGAAATTATGCAATAAAAAGGCTCATAAGAATCAATTGAGGGAAGAATATAATTAAAAGGTAAGTCGGAAAAAAGTTAGTCAAAATATGCATAAGGGTAATTTGAAAACATCGTAGACAGAGGCCATCTGTATTTGATTGTCCATGGACCATGATTCCATCAAATGTACAAATAAACGAATGTAATAAAGTGAAGAATTTATAGTACTTTCGAAGTATAGCTTTAAAAGGAGAGAGATTACACGCTTTCGTAAAGTTTTACGTGGTGGGGCAAAATCTGGTGGCGATTTGAAGAAGAGCTGATTTCACAGTAGAAATACGTTCGCCCGGTCTAGTGACAAGTCTGATGAATTGAAGACGTTCAGCGTAAGGCACTTGGGCATACAGTTTATTAACGCGTTCTACCATCAGGCCTAAAAGCGTTGAATTAGGAGTCAGCGATGAATGAAGATGAGGTAAAGAATTTGAAGTCGTAGAATGGATTGGAGACGCAGCCAGAGAACTCGACAGCTGATCAAAATAGATGTCCACCAACCTATCTTGTGGATGGCCATTTGTCGGAGCTCCAATATCCTGAACCGCTTCAGTTTCACCCCCTATATTGTAGCTTGTAGGCCAGGATCGGCAAACGGGACGACCAAGTAGCAGTAGTCGGAGGCAAGCCAACTGATCGCCGGGATGCCGATACAGAGTAAGCGCCATAAAAAGTTCGACATACTTGGCGCAGATCCGAGGCGTGGTGCAATAAGTAGCTAAAGCAGTCAAAAGACTGGCTGTAGCCTATATACAAATACGGAGAGAAAAATCATAGTAAACGGAGGGTGGTTTTACTCATTTCGACTGAAATCACACGAAAGACATGTATGAAGTAGAAGATGTTAGAGATAAGTGGAAATGAGAAACTATACGAAAATTTCACAATGCGGAAAATATGCAAAGAATAAAAACGTATAAAGTGACAAGGAACAGTTAACATAAA